CCAGCATCTGCAGTTCCTACTATCTCAGTAGCTAGGAAAATATTGGTTTACATGCAGAAGATAGGGTGGGGGAAAGGGGATAAGAATTAAACAATAGCTGGGGATAGAGCCCAAAGAGAGAACAGTTGGAGAAACAAAGGAGTGGATAATGATCTAGCTTGGAGGGTGAATAGCTATTAATGGAAACTGTTCGTGACTAACAATGGGTTGGTTGTGTGTATTGGCAGAGTATGTGATAACAGGCCTGGTGTGTGGGGGTTGGGGTAAGGACCTGGGAGAGCTCAAGCCCTAAAGTTATTGAACTCGATGTTGAGTCCAGAGGGCTGCAGGGTCCACAAGCAGAAAATGAAATGCTGTTCTTCCAGTTAACGTTTCAGGTCAAGTGACCGTTCCTCAGAACTGATAGTAGCTAGAAAAATGTTGGTTTATATACAGAAGATCGGGTGGGAGAGGGGTTAAGGAGTAAACAAAAGGTGGAGATAGAGCCCGTTCTCTCTGATTTCTCTTCATAGATGCTGTCAGATCTACTGACCTTTTCCAGCAATTTCTGGTTTAGTTTCTGATTTACAGCATCTGCAGTTCTTTCGGTTTTCATTCCTCTGCACCCTGTTGAATCAGGAATCTGTTCAGTTTCCCTTTAGATTCTTCAGCATTTGGCATGTTAGTGAAGCAACATGTAGAACAACGTGTTACAACTGTCACAGTGCAGTCCCTGAATTAGCTTCTGACCAAGATCCAAGAAAGTACATACAGATGTACAAATTAGGAACAGGAGTTGGCGTTATAGTCTTAAGAGTCTGGTACACCATTCAGAAAGATGATAGCTGATCTGATTGTGGCCACGGTTTCCTATTCCAATCTGCCCCGATTGAGGTTGTAGACATGCTCGCCGAGCCTGTGTATTTGATTGTAGACGTTCCATCACCCTGCTAGGTAACATCGTCAGTGCGCCTCCGGTGAAGCATTGGTGTTCTGTCCTGCTTGTTATTTATATGTCTTGGTCTTCTCAAAAACTTTAAATCCCCCCGATTAATTTTAGGGAGGTGGCTGTGTAGTGGTAATATCACTGGACTAGTAATTGATCAACCCAGGCTAATGTCCGGGGACTCAAGTTAGAATCTCTCCATGGCAGATGGTGAAACTGAAGTTCAATGAAAACCTGGTTTTAAAATCTACCCTAATGACAACCCATCTGGTTCACTAATGTCTCTTAGGGAAGAAAATCTGCCATCCTTACCAGGTCTGGCCTACATATGACTCCAGACCCACAGCTACATAGTTAACTTTTAACTACCCTCTGCCCTGAGGACAATAAATGATGGCCTAGCCAACGAACCCCACGTCCCATGGATACGTAAACAGAAACATTGACTCGCTTGTTAGTCAAGAATTTATTGACCGCTGCCATAAAAATGTTCAATGACCCTGCCTGCATTGCTTGCCATGGAAGCCTTTCAACCGTCTGAGAGAAAGACTTTTCAAATTCTTCTCAACATCTCTGTCTTACACAAGTGACCTTTATTTTTAAATTGTGTCTCCTAGTTCTTGTCCCTCCCACAAGGGGAAACATCCTTTCAGCATTAATCAAGGCTGTTCATTTCGCACATGATTAAAAAGAGAAATACTTTATTGTATCACAGTTAGTCCTGTTGAGCTTTCACGATGTCAAATAGGATACTTTCTGATCTCTGTTTCCTGGCAAAATCAAAAAAAAAGGTTCCACAAAGGCAATTCAGCTGAAATTAAGTGCCCGTTTTTAGACTTTGTAGACGTTCCATTGTTTGCTTATCATTCTCCCTTAACCTTTTATACAAGGGGCATCCAGAGTCAAATATAGTTTTCCGAGGATAGATGTTTCGAAGCTAGGAAGAATTGCATATATTGTAAAATGTTAGTATGCAGGTAAACAAGTAATTAGAAAAGTTAATAGAATATTATAATTTATTGCTGAGGAATTGAATACAAATGTAGGGAAGTTATACTTCAATTAGACCACACCTGGAGCACAGCGGACAGTTCAGAGGAGGTTTACTACCCCAATACCTGGGATGGGCAGGGCGTCTTAGGAGAAAAGGTTGGACGAGTTGGTCTTATTTCCGCTGGAGTTTAGAAGAGTAAGATTGAAACATATAAGACTTTATTTAAACGTACACCCTGCCAAGACCCCTCCCAGTTTTGCATGTTTCCTTTTATAGAGAATATAGACGTTGGTGGGGTCACTGCTTTAAAAAAAAGTCATCCATTTAATAGTGATGAGGATTTTCTTTTTTATAGACAAGCATATGAGAGAGGTGGGAATAAGAGGAAAGATTGAGAAGACTTGAGTGGAGCATGAATTTAGTTGACACACACAGACACATACAGTTCAAATTTTTAACAGGCATTATTTGACTTCATTGCTTCCATTCTCCTTTTCAGGGTGATATCCAAGCAAAATATGATGCAATTGACAAGGATACACCAATACCCACTGATCGACAGGTAAGGGAGATATACTGTGGAGGCCTTTCATAGTACTGTTTAATCAGTGGTAGAATAGTTTACATAAATATTCTGTTAATTCATTTTGTACTTGAAGTGAAATTACAGGTGAAGTGCATTGTTAGGATTTATACAATGTTTTACCACCATCTGTCATTAATTGGAATGTATTCTTGCACCAACATAATTTCTGGAGATAAACAACACATGAAGGCACTTATTGAGACTACATTGTCTGCACAGTTTTTTTTTCCATGACAGCTACTCCAGCAGCATCATCTATCGACATCCTGCTCGTTTCAACATGTATACTGATGACACACAGCTCAACTTGCCCTGTACTACTCTGAACGCACTACCACTATGTTGTCAGACTGCCTGGTTGACATCTGGTCTTGGATGAGAGCATAAGAATGTAAGAGATAGGTGCAGGAGTAGACTAACTTGCTCATCGAGTCTGCTACATCATTCAATACAATCATGACTAACCACAGGCTTCAACTCCAGTTTTCTGCTCACTCCCTTTGTTTTCCTGAGACCAAAACTCTGTCTTTCCCAGCCTTAAACAAGTTCAACAATGGGACACCTACAACCTTCGCAATAGAACATAGAACAGTACAGCACAGTATAGGCCCTTCGGCTCACGATGTTGTGCCAACCTATTATCCTACTAAGATCAAACTACCGTGTATACCCTACATTTTACTATCCTCCATGTGCCTATCCAAGAGTCGCTTAAAAGTCTCTAAAGTATCTGACTCCACTACCACTGCCAGCAGTGCATTCCACACACCCACCACTCTCTGTGTGAAGAACCTACCTCTGACATCTCCCCTATACCTTCCTCCAATCACCTTAAAATTATGCCCCCTCGTAATAGTCATTTCCGCCCTGGGAAAAAGTCTCTGTCTATCCACTCTATGCCTCTCATCATCTTGTATACCTCTACCAAGTCACCTGTCATCCTTCTTTGCTCCAATGAGAAAAGCCCTAGCTCCCTCAACCTTTCCTCATAAGACCTGTCCTCCAGTCCAGGCAGCTTCCTGGTAAATCTCCTCTGCACCGTCTCTAAAGCTTCCGCATCCTTCCTGTAATGAGGCGACCAGAACTAAACACAGTATTCCAAGTGTGGTCTAACCAGGGTTTTATAGAGCTGCAGCATGACCTCGTGGCTCTTAAACTCAATTCCCCTGCCAATGAAAGCCAATAGACCATACACCTTCTTTACAACCCTATCCCTTCTTGACTTGAGCGGTGAGAGTGTGAGCCAGGGAGCAGCCGGGAAGGTAAGGTTTCCTTACAAAAACTTGCCTTGTGAATCAGCAGCCTTCTTGATTTGAGCAATAATTTCTCCTTATCTCAGTCCCTAAATGATTACACCTTTATTCTGAGACTGCGCCACTGTTTTAGATTCCCAGACCAGCAGATAATATCTCTTGGGGTTTACCCTATCAACTCCCTTCAGAATCTTGAATGTTTTAATGAGATCACCTTCATTCTTCTAAACCCCAGAGAATTCGGGCCTAATTTACTGGGCATCTCATCATTGCACAAACCTATCATTTCTGGATGAATTTAGTTGAACTTTTGCTGCACAACCTCCAGTAAAAGTATTTTCTTTTTCCTCCTGCCTGCAGCTAAACTTTGTGTGGACTAAAACTATCATGTTTCATGCCTGCTGTCAGCTCCAAACAATCTGATTCCATCTCCCTCCCTTCATCATTGTCTCACACCGTTTATAATCTTGTCCAATTAAACCCAAGTTGAGCAATCCATGTTGCAAAGACTACCTGCTTTCCCCTTCATCATGTCAGCTGCCTTAGTCCATTTGCCATTGATTTCCTTTTCCAATCAACATCACCAGAAATAGATGATCTAGTCGTTCATCTAATTTCTGTTTGAGTCTTTGCAAAACCTGGCTGGTATATTTGTGTTCACAACAACACTGACTGCGGAAAGTCTTCAATTGGGATTCAAATGCTTTGGGATATCTTGAGGACATCGAATATAGTACAAAAATGCATGTTCTAAAAATTCAGGGTGCTGTATAAATGCAAGTATTGCATCTGGGATGATGTTAAATCAATTCCTTCAACTTGAAATTCTATTAAATAATTTTTGAGAAGGTGGCATCGCATTACATTTTAATTCATTAAGCTATGAAAATTTATTTGCAGTGTATAGCATAAATATTCCATACACATCACAAAAATAGATGGATCAGCACATACACTGTCCCTGCCAGTGATTTATTTTAAAAGTGACTTAACCCCAGTTCACTTTTGATCCTAATATAAACAGCATGAAAGTTATAAATAGTGTTCTACAGGCCTTCATATCCCATATATAGGGTAGATGTTAAGATGTTTAGAAATTGTCAATGCAGTGCACTTAGAGATATAATTTGTGCAAGTTAAGAAGGGCTTTTTATGATATATTCTCCACTTGCCTGCAAGGAATTATGACTCTCCTCTGTGAAATAACATTTGCTCTGTCTGTCTTTGACCCTGGTTTATTTCCTCAGCTTTTATTTCCACCTGTGAAAGTCAAGCTTCAGCAAGTCCTCTCAACACTACACAGCAACAACCATTGCAATCCAAACTTCCTGAGAAATGGCAACAGCTTTGATGAAGTCAATCCGGTTCTATTTTTTTCTCTCAGTAGCCAGGAAACAGCCCTCTCTCGTACATCCTTTCCCCTGGTTGGATTAGAATAGTGTTTGCAAACTTGCAACGTCTGTCCATCAATATCTGTTTCTATGGCTGATTGCCTTTCAGATTGAGGTGGACATTCCACGCTGCCATCAGTACGATGAGCTGCTGTCATCACCAGAGGGTCATAGAAAGTTCAGACGTGTGTTAAAGGCCTGGGTAGTCTCCCATCAGGAACTAGTCTACTGGCAAGGTGAGTTTAACTGCCACAGTTGATGAAGGATAGTGACTGTGGCAGCCTTAAGTACACTTTAACTGTTTAAATAGATCAGGTTAGGCAAAGCCAAATTTACCCCCTACTATTTCTGTGGCAATTAGTTGGCTTATCTTCTGTCACAATCATATCACCTGATGACACGCTAAGGAAATTTGGAATCCAAGTTCTTCTTGTCACAGAGAAATAAGCTAACATTCTGGGATGATCAATACTACAGTAATTAAAGGAAATCCTACACCAAACAATGAGCATTCTGAAACTAATTGGATTTTTAAAAATTCCTGATTATCGATCCCAGTAATTTTTTTCCCATATGTTTAACTAATGCACAGCATCTCCTCTGTATATTGAAATAATGTTGCTTTGGTTGAGGGAACTGTCTCTCAACTGTGAACAAGTTCACATCTTCACTGTTCATGACTAGAAAGCTGCTGAACTGAACAGTGAGGACTTGATGCTGGAGTCAGCATGTAGCGATGTTTATCGTAAATTCGTCTGAAACCATTAATCATTACACTGTACCAGCAGTATGTCGGTCTGCAAAAATTGAGGCAACTCAGCTTGCAGTCTTTTCAACTCAAAGTAAAAATAATTGCCTCATCAGAGAACTAAAGGAATTCCACACTTCCGCTTTATTGATCTGTTGTGAATTTGTGACCCCTCCAAAGGACTTCATCAGACTGTCAATCTGGCAGTGTGTAGATATTCCAGAGGCAAGACTTTCTCTCATTATAGGGTGGAATGCAGGCAAGCGCATAATTCTATGCCACTGGCTGGTGTGACAATTTGCAAGCATCACACTGTCCCCAGTTTTCCCAATGCCTGGATTGAGGCCAGAATGACCACCAGCTTGTTGAGGTCAAATAAGGCTAGTGATCCAAGGCTAATTGAAAATTTCAAGCCACCTTGCAGTGCATCCCCTGTTCAGAAGTTCAAAAACTACCTGGAGGCAATCTCTGCAAAGCAGGCTGAAAGTGGGACTTCAAATCATCTATGCAGGCCTCTCTGATGGCTGCTTAGCAGCTGTGGCCATTTCGTTTCTGAAAGAGCTAAGAAGCTGCGTCCCTTTGTCTCTCTCTTTCTGTTGTTAGCAGCTGCAACTCCTTCTCCTTCTGGCCTTCCAGCTTCAACAGCTCACGTGCCATCCTTGATTGGATGGTATATGCATCTTCTGGCAATTAATTGGCCAATCGAGGATATAGCTACTGACTGGCTACTTCCAACATAGGAATGGATCAGGGCCTGCATGTGACCCCAGTGTCAGAGCTCCAATCCAGAATCCAGAATCCAGAATCATGTCCTAGGATTAAAGTATCAGAGGGAAGTGGAAACACAAACAGCAAATGCTGGAGAAACTCAACAGCTCTGGCAGCATCTGCAGAGAGAGGAACAGAGTTAATGTTTCGAGTTCATTATGACACTTGTTCAGAGGTTCTGAAGAAGAGTCATGCTGAACTCAAAATGTTAATTTTGTTTCTTTCTCCACAGATCTGCCAGACCTGATGTTGAGCTTCTCCAGCATTCTCTGTGTTGTTTCAGATTTCCAGCATCTGTAGTTTGCTTTTTTTCAGAGGGAATCTATTGCACTTCATCTTTGGCTTGTGCCACATAAGTAAATAGAGGGTTTGGGCTCAGACTTATTTACTAGGCCTTGATAAAGATGAAAATTTGAAGGTGTGACAAAAGATTTAACACATTTAGTGGGAGCTTCCAATAACATGATCAATATTCCCCATTATTAAATTGTTTTGCCTACCTATAATCAGCTTATATATTTGGTGACTAAGATTTATAATACTGGTTCTCATCTTTGAAATATATTTCTGCACTAGGTTTGGACTCCTTGTGTGCACCGTTCCTGTATCTGAATTTCAACAATGAAGGTAAGTATCTAATTAGTTGGTGACAGAATGACAGGCCTTGGCTGTGAGAACAGTTTAGAGGAATAGGGATTTGTTTCAACACAACCTGGAAGGTTACAGGAGATCGGATTATTCAGGGTTTGAAATCGGGGGAAATTATTTCCACTGCATGGTAATTCAGTCACTTGGAGAGCATGTTTCACAAATAGAGAGATTCAGAGCATTACCTTTTACAGAGGGTTATTAGAACATTTATCAGAAGCAGTAAAGGGTGCAGAATCAATCATAACTTTTAATAGGGAAGTGGATAAATAATTTGAAAAATAAATGTTTAAATAGTATGAGGAAAGGACAGAGGAGGGGAAGCCATGGGCAGCTATTTTGGAGAGCAGTGGATTAAATGGCTTCTAATAGCTTGTAAAATCGTACAGAATCTAGGTAACTTTTCCCAGCAAGAACTGTGATTTAAAGAAACAGAAAAACTAATCCAATTGTGGTCTGTGTGACTTATTTCTACTGATGCCTTACACAATGAAGAATGAATTGGTTGTAAGGGTACCTTTTTATGGGTGAGTAAAGAGGGACAGGTGAACTAATCTAAGCTAGCCCAAGTGGCCTACCAAAGGCAAGATACTGAATTGTTTTGAGAATGTCAAAACCGAGTGCCTATTTACAGGTTAAAACTGGTGCATGTTACAGGGAGATCAAGAAAAAAGGGAGGGAAAGAGAATGCAAGTAACTTAATGGAATTTTATTTGTATGTGTGGGGAGGATGAGGTGTAGTGAAACAACATACCACTCAGAATCTGACGTTGTCTTCCTGTTGCAGCCTTGGCGTATGCTTGCATGTCTGCCTTTATTCCCAAATACCTGTATAACTTCTTTCTGAAGGACAATTCTCACGTCATACAAGGTAAATCACCAGGTTCCTTATGCATGTTGTTAGTCTGTGCATTACATGAAAAAACTGGTTTGAATAAGCCAACCAGTGGGATAGCTAAATGTGCTTCTGTAGTATGTGCTACCCAATGTATTTCTGCAGGGTCTCCAGCAGGAAGGGGAATAATGCCTTTAACACAACAACAAAAACAGAAGTTGTGGAAAAGCTCAGCAGGTCTGGCAGCATCTGTGAAGAAGCAAATCAGTATTAACGTTTCGGGTCCAGTGACCCTTCCTCAAATCGGACCCGAAATATTAGCTCTGATTTTTTTTTTCCTTCACAGATGCTGCCAGACCTGCTGAGCTTTTCCAGCAACTTCTGTTTTTGTTCCTGATTTTCAGCATCCGCAGTTCTTTCGGTTTTTAATGTCTTAATTGTACAATACTGTTACAGCAGAACCCGAACTGATCTCTCTCTTTTATTTTTCAGTGGAGTTGTTATTAAATGATTCATTCTAAAACAAAATTTATCTGTCTTACTCATGTATCATGAATCTAAAGCAGTAATTCAATATTGTGTTTTCTTTTGCTCGTCAATGCTTGACTTCTGTGCTTTGTCTCATCCAAACTACTTAATTGAATTATTGCCTTTTTAACACTCTTAATACCCTTTAACTTCGAACAGCTGCTGTGGAATTAATTCCAAGGGGTATTATCTAACAATGTTTTGTCATCTAACTCACCAGGGTCTGTGTCGATCCTATTTGTCTAACAATGCATTTCCCATTAGATTGTGAACAAGGACCATACATCTCAGTTTTTGTACTAAGACTGATCCTCATCTATTAGTTGCATGGTTGATTGACCATGGCGCAGTCGAAAGTATGGAAACCCCCCTCCCCAACTTGATATAACCAGGTTATATCAGCAGACTAGATGGATTTTGTGTTGCTCATCCCAACTCCTACCAGCTTTCTAGTGGATGACCCATAAAGCCTGTAGAATGCTGGGGCCCATTACACACTTGAAGGGTGGGGGTGACTGCAGAAAAGTGTGGTATTGGAGTGGTAACTGTAAACCCTATTTCCGTAATGCCTCTGAATGGCACAAAGATGCTCCACTTGCCCTTTGGCTTTTTATTTTTGTAAATACACTTTGCAAGTAGGTCTTTTGAGTGGTATTTGGCTTTTTTTTTAATGGGCTTGCAGGGTAGTACTGAGATCAAGTGTCTCTGAGGTGGGATATCTCTGGGTTGGATTGGGGTGGGATGTCTCTGGGGTGGGATTGGGGTTGGTTGTCTCTGGGGTGGTGTTCTAAATTGAAGAAATCAACCATTTTCTTGGAAGTGTTGTACATCACTATTGCTTTTCACCACACTAGTTTTATTGCTCACCAATCTTCTGTCCAAGTCCCCCACCATCTGATTCCTCTCTGGGGGCCCAGCTTTCTGATGGTAGCTACCCTTCAACAACTCCGTTAAGAGGATATTATGTACCTGTGGCTTGATTTTGTGTGTCATGAGATTTTGCATATGAGCCTGGGGCTCACCTGATCTTGCACAAACAAACACCTTCAGCAGGCATTGCTGCGTGGTAACTGAATGAAGGTGGGAACCAATTATCCAAATTTAGCATGTTCATTGATCTGGTTGTCACTGAGCCACCAAAAGAGCCAATTGTGCTGCGTAACATCAAGTCATCTCCATTAAAAAGGGTAATTTAAAATAGATACCTTCAGCTCCTGATACCTTCTGCATCTCGGGTGGTCAGAGCACAAAGCAGCAATTATTTCAGGTACTGATTGCAAGCATTCATCCGCAATAGAATGTGGTAATCACTAGAAGCGAGCCAAATAACAGCTCCATTCTGTGTGAATTAGTTGTTTAATGCTCTCTAAACTAATACAGATTAGCAGAATTTAAGGGGATTGGGGGAAGTGTTGTGGGACCAAGTGATGAAGTCACTCTGCTTGTGGTTTCAGTCCAAGCTGGCTTTTTCAGAGAATCCGCAGAAATAAGAACTTTGCAGCAAGCCAATCCTTTTAGTTGGAGAAATGGTCTTTATTTATTCAGCATTTCTGTTGATTTAATTGTCTTTATCACTGTCTGTGTTCAGAATATGAACAGATTAAACTTGGGTGATTGAAGGATGGAGTTGTAGAAGATTAGGAATGCTTCAGTTTTCTCTAGCTGACATCAAACAGTTCTTGCATTGTCCAGTGTGTGGCACTGCTAACATGCAGCAGTTGTAGGAGCACAAAATAAAACCCATTAGCTCTGAGCTCAGTCATGGAAATACATTTTTGTATGGGATATAAGGCTATAACTTGATCCTTCTGGTTAAAGATCCTGCGCAGTTGATTTGTATTTCACACGTCTAATTTGCTTTTACTCTATTTAATTTGGACAATCTCCAATTCTTTTTATTGCATAGTCCCAATACAAAACTGTAAACCTCACTTTACACTACATTACACGCAGGTTCCCCTATGCTGTAGAAACCTCCCCAGGTTGCAACATCTAATAATGAAGTAATAGGCTGGAAGTGGGAAGTCCATCAATGCTGCAGCTATTGAACCGTAATTGGTTGACTGGTACGAGTTTTGTGTGGAGGTGAAATGATGAGATCTTGCTTTGACTGAAGACCTTTAGGAACTGGTTGAGTCTAATATCTCGTAGAGGATTTGAAAAGAAGTTCAACTTTCATATCATGTGCATTGCTCACATCGTGTTTTGCTGGACTGTTTAAATACTGTCTAAACATTCATGTTTATACTACTTTGAATGCTAATTTCTTGTTTAATTAATGCTCAAATTGCAGATTGAGAGTATGTGTAGCCACCATCAGTTAAGCAATCAATCACTTGGTATGAATTTCACTAAAATCAAGGTGGTGTTTTCTCTGTGATGCTCTGTTTGAAGCTCATGAGTGCATTTAACAGTCAGTTATTAGTTTAGTCGCAACTTGATATGTATCAAATTTCAGGCCAAATCTTACCTTGCTGTCTTAATGGTTTACCATACCTTGTATTAAATTTCCTGGAGTCAGTTATTTTCCATGTTCTAAGAATAATGACAGGCATTTTCAAGTTTCTGTTTCTATATGTGCTCCAATGGGAAAGCTTTGATCTTAAATCTCACTTCCAAATCCCCAGTTCTTCAATCTCCTTCTTTCCTAACGTGAATTAGGAGGAACACGTTTTGGAGGCTTCTTCCTAGGATGGAGTCTTGCTCCTCAGGAGCCGATAAAATAACTTGGATTTTCGTGTCTACCTTGTGATGAAGCACATTCAGAGATGGCATTTTACCTCCTTCAGTAGTGGAGCTGTGCAAGGTCTACACATCTTTTATATGGCAATCCAAACTAGAAAGTGGACATAATGATTTTTGTTGAAACAAAAATGGAACAGTGTGGTGTTCGCTCACTTTTTTTTTGCAAGAGCAAATAACTTGTGCTGAAACTCAAATTTGACACTTTGTTGAGATCAGCTGGCACCAAATGTCTTTGGGGTGAAAAGAATAACAGCCCACCAGAAGCCTTTAGATTTGGTTTTAAAGTAGCAGTTTGTCACAGAACTGAGGAGATGAGCGTGTGGACACTCAGACCTCCAGAAACCTCCAAGCAAGTTAAATCACAAACATCTCCACTGCCACTGACCACCCCCCCCCACCCCTCCAAAAAACATCATGCACAATGCGTGAAGAAATAACATACAAGACTCGGCGAAGAAATAACATACAAGACTCGGCAAAGAAAGAAAACTTCCAAATCGGCTATTGAATTGAGCATTGCTTCAGTCAAAACAATGTGATAGCATCACCGAAAAGCAGAATAGTTTAAGTTTATGTATTAGGAGTTAATCCATTTTACCACTTTTTAGAGGATATGTTTGTTATAATAAATACGTCTATTCACATCTATTCTTAGATTGTGCTCATACTCTGGCGTTAACCACCCTATTGATTAAATTGGTCATATTTCATCTTTATGACAACTTGTGAAATAGTGGAGTTTGACTACCACTGCACACTTCTCCCATCAGCGTTGTGACAATAGAGTAACTAATCGCTTGATGGAGGCCATTCAGCCAGCAAATGGATGCAGGCATGCTGTCCCAGATAACTCTCTAAATCCCTACGCCCCTGCAAGTTTATTTCCTTCAAGTGTCCATCTAATTTCCTTCTGAAGTTGTTGAGTGTTTCTATTTCCCTTGTGGGCAGTGAGTTCCAGGCCCTTGCCACTGTGTGTGCTTAAGAAAAGTTCCTCCTCACATTCCACCTGCATCTCGTGCTTAAAATCTTAAAAATGTGTCCCCTCGTCCTTGGGCTATCAGCTGATGGGCGCAGTTTGTTCTTGTTGAATATTCTGGGTGAGGAATCCAGTAACTTAGCTACTGGACTACTCAATGCCCTGGTGCCAGGATGTTTGTTAGACTTGCATAAAAGAAACGCTCTGGATCCAATCTATCGTGAAAGAATCGGTGTTTCTTTCAGTCAGTTTTGTCCTCCATGTCTGCATTTTCTTCACATCAGTGCAGAGATTATCCTGCAGAGATGTTTGTATCAGGGCTATCAGGAAAGGAATATTTGCCTTATGTGCACTCTTTGTATTGCAAAAATGTTGATAAAGGCAAATCTATAGTGAAGCATCAGATACAGCAAAATCTGATGAGATCAAAAGCAAAATGGTTCCGTACCAGCTTTGTGCCCGTATTGCACCAAGCGCATAGGAATGAACTGAGACGTTTAAAAATGTGATGTATGAGATAATATATCACTAGGAATGTAGACCTAAGCTCTGATCCCCTGTGCTTTTGCCATAACATTCTACTGTTTTTCATTTTCAAAACTTAAAACTATTTAAAACTATTTCAGATTGTGCTTCAATCACTGGTTAGTTGCATTACATTTCTTATTTTTCTTAAACACTAATTTTTCTTTTATATCCTTTCATTCTTTTTGAGGGTGGTCTTGAAAATTACGCCTTTGACATTGTTTCACTAACTGATGAAAATTTTTCCCCAGGTATCTGATTAAAATACTTCACAATTATGAATGCTTCTGTGAAATTTTCTCTCAGCCATCTCCACTCAAATGAACTGCTTTTGTTCTTTCCTCCTAACGAAAGCTTTCAGTTTCCAATAAATTCTTTGTTCCCTTCCCATGGCATTGCCACCTTCTTAAAGCTTTGGCCTCACTGTTTGAGAGTTTGTTAGAGTCCAGGAACATCAACGTGCTGTGTCAGTGTACAAGTTGTTCCTTTATATCAGCACTGCATTTAAAAAACAAGATCTGGTACTTGTCAAAACATTTCAGCATTACTTTGAGTAAAGCTTCTCAATGTGACTGTTCGATGTGATAGTAACTGCAGTGCTTTTATTGTGTAAAATCAAACTGTGTTGGTTAGTGATGCCTTTCCCCCAAGCTATTACAGGGGATCACTATTTGTATGTCATAAAACTGAGATATTAGCTCTTATGGTCTCAGGTTGTGACTATTGAGGCACAGATCATTCCTAAATTAATCACTTAAGATAGTCTTTGTGTAGACAACCTGAAAACTGTGGTTGGGTGTGTCATTGCCTGTGTATCAGTGAATAGGTCTTCTGTATGACTGGTTATGAAGCAATCAGTATTATTTAAAGACCAGTGTTTCATCAGTTTTTCTTTGTTTGATAATTAATAAAATTTCTCCTTGTTGCAGAGTATCTGACAGTGTTTTCCCAGATGATTGCTTTTCATGACCCAGAGCTGAGTAACCATCTCAACGAAATTGGCTTCATTCCAGATGTAAGTACTAAGGATCCTTGTAAATTTTTCTCTTGAATTTCAATATCCTCTAATGTGGTTTTACCAAAAAAAGTAGATCTCAGATTTGTGTTGGGGGTTATAATGAGGGCACCACTTATAAGAAAAAAAATGTCAGCCTGCACTTGATAAAGTAATAACTGTCAAAATATTCTACAGTTTTCCCTTGATGATAAATGAAACTAGGTTGGATAGTCAAATGTTAATGAGGGTGAATAAGAGTGCACATCATGAAACTGCCACTTTGGAGGTCAAGTCTGAGAGACTCCTCCTTTTGGGTATCATTTGGTTCAGTACAAACATCGTTGTCATGCCAGCGGATCACTCCTTACTATAACATTGTGACCACAGATAGAAAGAAGTTATATTTGTATAGCACCCTATCAATTCTTCCAAAGTGTTCCACAGCCAATTGATTACTTTCTGAATTATGGTTGCTGTTATTTTAGTGGGTAAATGTGCCAGCCACTGTACACCCAGATCACAAAAAATGCTTTAAATCTCAGTGGTCAGGCAGCATCCATGGAGAGAGAGAGCAAGCTAACATTTCGAGTCGAGATGATACTTCATCAGAGCTGATACGAGTACATTTTTTGTTTTCAGTACAGGTTCCATGATCTGCAGTAATTTGCTTATACACCCAGATCAGTTCCCCAAACAGCAAAATTAAGTAATGATCCATTATTCTCTTTAGGATAGTGATGGTCGGTAGAGAATTTTAGCTATAAATCCCTGCTGTTTGAACGGGTCCATAGTTTCTGTTTATGTTTGCCCGGAGTGGGAGTAGCAGGGGCCTCTGTTTAACATCTCATCTGAAAGATGGCATTTCTGATACTGCAATGTTGCTGCAGTACAGTACTGAGGTACTGGCCCAGGTTATATGCTGCTGTCCCTGAGCTCTCAACCTTATGATTTGGAGACCAAAAGTGGTGTAAGAAAGGTGTAAAGTCTGAGGAGTGTCAACCTGTCATTGCCATGCAACTCTCATCAATCAACTCAGAGACAAAAGACACTGGGGAAAGCCATGTAATCAGGGATTGACAGAAGTGTCGACCTTAACATACTTTCACTATTGTGGAGCATGAATGTAACTTCAATGTCAGTAATATCAATTACAGTTTCCATTGTCTGTTTTTAATAGTTTGGTTGCAAATTTGTAAATGTAAAACATATATCTTTTAAATTTTAAGACCTTTTCAGCTTCTGTGTCATATAAAATGGAGATATTAATTAATTATTTCAATTAATTTCTTAGCAGCACAGGTAAATGTCAGAATTTATCCTATAATTCCATTGTTCCCAATGCACTTCACAATTTAGAGAAAACCCCACAATACAATTCAAAGTTTAAAAAAACTTCTTGTGTCTCAGACAACATTCCTGTCTCCAAGTTAAATCAGAAGAGAACAACTAACTGCTTGCATTGTAGCTTACATGATGTGTTTACAACAAGTTTCAGAATTGTGTATGGTTGCAATATTTTCACGTTTTGGTCATGATGCACAGGCAATGCCTTACCTGAGTAGCAGAATTCAGAGGCTAGCATAAACTTAAACATTTTGCCTTTTTTGGGCATTTGTCCTGTTTAGTATGTTCCCATTACCTCTGATCCCTGATTTTAAGACATCTTTCTATTTGTATTGAAAGCCAATAGCTGGTGCAGTTAAACAGCACTGAAATACAAGTTCTTGTCTGTTTAAACCAGAACAATTCATTTCCTTTCATGTGCTGATTCTCCTGCCCCTTACAACCTGCCACCTTCAAAAACGATTTATTTCAATGCTTGATGCTGATGTGAACATTTGGATATGGACAAGTTTGGGCTTGGTATAAAACTGTATGTTGTTGAACAATTTGTGCACTTTCCATCTGTATTCTTGTGAGTAAATACCCTATATTTCTTGGAGAGGACTACCTCAGCAAGGAGTCACTAATTGGTAAAGGAGTGGATAGGATCAATGCTGAGGGCTGAAGTGTCAACCTTGGTTCCATGACAGCAGTCTTGTCTCCAAGTGTGTCTAAGGTATATTCCAGAGACTCGAGTGCATAAATCTGCCTACCACACCAGTCACTGTCAGTTGCTGATACTATTTGGGTAAGATCATAGAATCCCTACAGTGTGGAAGCAGGCTATTTGGCCCATCCAGTCCACGCTGCCTCTCCGAAAAGCATCCCACCCAAACCCACATCCATGCCTGTAACCCTGCATTTCCCATAGCTAACCCATCTAGCCTACACATCCCTGGACACTATAGGCAATTTAGCATGGCCAATCCACCTAACCTGCACATGTTTGGACTGTGGGAGGAAACTGGAGCATCTGGAAGAAACCCACAGAGACACGGGGAGAACGTGCAAACTCCACACAGACAGTTGCCCGAGGCTGGAATTGAACCTGGGTCCCTGGCACCATGAGGTAGCAGTGCTGACCACTGCGCTGTCCAGATATTCAACTGAAATCCAATCTTCAATTTCAGATGGATGTAAAAGATTCACAGCTGTATTTATCCTTCAATCAATATCACTCAAGCAGATTAAATGGTCATTAATGTGTTGCTATATGTAAATTGGCTGCTACATTTTTTACAGTTCAACAATGACTACAATTCAAAAGTATGTTGTCTGTTATTAAAGCACTTTGGGATATCCTCAGGTTCTGAAAATAAGTATGTTAGCACAAGTACTTACTTTTCTTCTGTCTTAATCATGGAATGACAGAACAGTGCAACACAGAAGGAGACCATTCAGCCCATCAGATCTGCACCAGTTCTTTTGAGAAGCAATGCAAGTTGTCCTCAATCCCCACTCTTTCCTCATATATCCCTGTAGTTTTCTTCCCCACAAATATTCATCGAATTGCCATGTAAATAAAAGCTGCTATTAAATCTACATCCACCAGCCTAAATCTCAAATTGCCTCAGGATATTCCATCCAAATGGTTGACTGAAGCAATCTATCCTGGATTTCATTGCAAGTTTTGTGACTACAGTCTAATCTGAGTTAATTCATGAAGGTACAGCTTCTGGGTTGTTTGGTATAAACTTTTGGTCCAAAAAAATTAGGTGAGAAAAGGGGATGAGCTCATAGCTGTTAGTTTTTAAATTGCTTTAAAATCTTCGATAAGTATAAACTAAACAAGCAGACAGGACACATGACCTACAACATGTGAGAGCAGTTTGATGGCCCCAGATTAGGTTCGGGAGAGAGGTGTGTGCTGGTGACAGTAATGAACCTGGTCTTCGTGGCTTGTGGTGTCATTCTCCACTGAGCAGTTTCCTGGCCCTGGTTTGGACACATGGGTGGAACAAGCCGCTATCTGTAGCTGAAGGTGGCAGTCTCCTCTATCATCAGTCTCCCAAAGCCGGCCAAAGTATTAATTTCAGACTGAAGCCAGCATAGATCAGATCGAAGAACTCTTTAGATGTCTGACGTGATTTTTGTGTTCCTCTGCCAGAAGTTGCTTAGCCTTTGCTCAGACACTTTGTTTACATATACATCGTGATGTGACCTGAAATGTCGTCGGGGTTACGAGTGCTCTAGGCTGTGGGAAAGACGTGACCTGAGCAGAGGTTACAATCGTAAATTCATACAAACAAATTCGGAGCAAGCGTGGGCCATTTGGCCCCTTGAACCTGTCCTGTGTTTGCCAGCTTGGAAGCTGCATTCGAAGCTTCGAGGGAACCAAAGTACACCCCACTACCATTAATTTGCCTAGCTCTTTAAAATTTCCAGTGGCTAAGTCTAAAGCACACCATGAGAGATTGGAGCCCAAAATGGAGCCAGGTTCCCAAGCCACATTTGAAAACCCAGCTTTAGATTCATGCCGATTAAGTTCTTAAATTTCAAATAACTTGTTGTCCCATCAGAGTTAATGTTTCGGGTCCGGTGACCCTTCCCTTTCTGAGGAAGGGTCACCAGACCCGAAATATTAACTCTGATTTTTTTACCTCACAGATGCTGCCAGACCTGCTGAGCTTTTCCAGCAACTTCTATTTTTGTTCCTGATTTTCAGCATCCGCAGTTCTTTCGGTTTTTATTCAAGAGGTTGATCTTTCCCAATGTTGTTGCACAAAGCTAAGGAATTAAATGCAACTGGAAGAGACTGAAATGCATCTCGGAAACAGGATTAAATTGAAATTTGTCTCATAATGATACAATGAGCTCAGGAATGGAAGAAAATGTTTACGTGGATAAACTCAAAATAATGATAAACTGGATTGGAATAGAGAATGTGTGTCCTTTTGTGCAGCTGTTACAATTTTGAACAAAATGAATAGGTTCAGTGTTATATTTCATCAGCTTTTAAGGCTGTATTTGTAATTTTTATGGTGTTTTCACTAAGTTATTTAAAAGATCTTGATTTCCTGAAGGAGCAACAAAGACCAATTTCAACATCAAGTAATTTCAAGTTCTGAGCATAGATTTAGCCTGACTGTATTGACTGGAGGGGAAAAAACAGGTTGAGAGTGGTTATGAGTCACTTATTCGATTGCAGAAACACATGTAAAATGTAGAGGAAGACTGAAACAAAAACAGAAATTGCTGGAAAAACTGAGCAGGTCTGGCATCATCTTAGTCTTCCTTTATAAAAGCTGGAATAACTTTTAAAGAGAAATCAGTTTACATTTCGGGTCTAGTGACCCTTCCTCGGAACTGATTCTTCGTTCTCTGATTTCTCTCCACAGACGCTGCCAGACCTGCTGGGTTTTTACAATAGTTTCTGTTTTTGTTTTTGATAATCAACATCTGCAGTTATTCCAGCTTTTATAAAGGAAGACTAATCAGTTTAAGTATTGAATGCGGTTCCCGAAGTCAAAAATACAAGGTTAACGAGCCTCGACAGATCAGGAAAATTTCCTCCTTCCCCGCCCTCCCCATCCCTCAAAAAAATAGTATGGAATCTAATACAGCAAAGGTAGTTAATACTGTGTCAATATAATCTTTCAAAAGGGGTTCGGTATTGATCAACTTACTATAAGCCT